ATTCATTTTTCGCGAATTATCCATTCAATTTAAAATTCTAATAATATTAGTATGAGATATTTTAAATTGAAAAAAAAATGTTTTTTTTTTTTAAATTACCAACATTACTATTGAGCACAAGTAACATTTATTAACCTGGAGTCGAACAGGAAATTATTCACGAGTCATCCAATACTCGTCCTTCTAATGGTTTTGATAATGTGTAAACGCGGTTAAACATTAATTGATTTTAGACAAAGGAATATTATGTGCCTACAATAACATTAGTGAACTTATTTATTCTTACGCTTTTTTTAATACAATCCTGTAAGGTTTTAATTTATTTTATGCTCTTTCAAAAACATAAACATAAGGACCATTTCGAATATAGAGACAGGGCGCGTCTTCACGTTCTCATTAGAGATCGACACCTATGATGTTTATTATGATATTAAATTCTCTAGAATAATCTATCTCGATTGCTACAGTTGCGAATGGGATACGTTTAAGTTATTTTCATTTGTGAATTATGGACTCTTTCTTCTTGTAGTTATATTTTTACAGTACTAAAATGATAAATTAATATTATCTCATTCAAGTAGCAGTGACCGATAATCCAACGTTGAGCCACATCTACCACAGGTACTCGACTAAACTGGTTCGGTGTGAGAACTGGCAGAGACACATTAAAATTCGTCCTATATGGGATGTCGTGGCGATGTAATAATGGCCTCTAGTCCTAGAAGGGTCCGCTACCTAGAGGGGTGCGACCCCCTAAAGCCGAGGGCCCAACCAGATGTTTTATGCTCACCCTTCACATCTGTACATATTTTCATTGTGCCATCCTGGGTAAAAATCGCCCGGTTGACGTCCTAATGCTTTCTGATATATTTATGTCCCTTTCGGGAATCGGAGTACTCTTTTAAGTTTGACCCGCATGACGATATGTATTAGGTTCGGCATTCTTCTCACACGTACAAATACGAAATAATGGAAAGAAAACTGGTAAATACAAAAAAGAAAAAAAATAGTCCCATAAGGTCCACAATGTTGATAGAGCATCATGGACGGAATTTAGGCTGGCAATCACGATCAAACCTTGTGAAATACGTTTTGAAAATTTTTAAACATTTTGATTTTTTACAGATTATTTCAATCAAGCGCACTAATTTGTAATTTGATTGTTGTTTCAATCACAAAATATTCCATAAACACTGAAAGGGTCTTCACTAAGTTGGTTACAACTATAGCTTGGTTTGGTTTTGCAGTATTTTTATTGTAATTAGAGATAGAAAGGTTTTATTTTGAATGAGGAGCTGCCCAAATGTACGAGATTACTATTTACACAATTTTTTATAAATTATATTTTGACAATTACAATATCGTGATCTAAACGAAACAAAGCTGATCATTTTAAATATGGATTCTAATGTGTTAATATGGGATCTTTATTTTTTTAATTGCTCATCATTCACCGACCTGACCAATGATGTTCAAACTCTTCAGTTCTCTGAAGTATTTGAAGCATTTTTTTTTAAAGCAAGATGTATTTTTTTTTCTGAAACATCTATTGCAAATAAGAAACAACCAATTTAATTTAAATATAATTGACAAGTATCGAAGATCGGATTTGGCGTATAACAGTATTGAACTGATTGGTAGATTTATCAATATAAATATAGCTAAGCCGATGGGTCGAAACGTAAATTAGAATAAGTATAATACTGATTTTGGTTACGCTCTCCAAGCGCCATGATTGTTGGTAATTGTTAAACGCGATAAATGATATTACCAGATTGTTATTTTATAAAGAACAATAATCCTATCACTAAGAAAGATGCCGCCTGGAATGCTCAGAATAGATCAAGAGCCAACGGGAGTATTCATGCAACCGGAAGGTGTAAAACTGGCTACCCATTAGTTAGAAAGTACTTAATGTCCTAATACAAGAAGTGGTCGTAAGCTGTTTCTTACCTGAGGATTTCAAGTCGAAAATTTGAATTTGTTACCTAAATAGAACTATTTCAAAAAAGTCAGGTTGCAAAAATTTGATTGAATTTTGTTTTCAGATATGGTATATGTCCTCGTAAAAATTCCAAAAGTTTTTGAACTCCCAATTCTTATGTCTTTTCCACCATCTTTAAAAAAACACTGAGAAATTTTTTTTTTTCAATTTTTTATCAGCAACTCGCTTCCATTTGTTTTTAGCCTAAACAATGTCTTTACTAGTGTTAAATAGTATTAAATTTTTCTATATTTTATAGATATTATATTGTAAAATTCGGAATAGTTACTTAGAACCAGACTGTTAAAATCTTTAAAAATGTTTTACTAAATATGTCGTTTTTTTCGCAATAAGAAATATATTTTAGATTAAATACATAATAACCTATCTTGTAAAAGACCAATTTTTTTACAAAATGCATATAAAATATTTCTAATTACCCCCAACAAACGTAGAGAGATGTAACAAATGTAAAGAAATAACATTCTTAGAGACAGTGTATTGAAGACGGAAAACTGCTTAAGTTCAAATTAATATTCTTAAATATCTTTAGTCCAGTTAGTATGTAATAATACAAACAATATTAAATTGAATTACAGACATAATATTTAGAAGTATTAAATTAAACAGAAAGGGGTTTTAAGCTTATAGTCGCTATAATGTTATTTCAATATTTCTTTGCGTATGTCGAGAGTAATTACAAATAGTTTATATAAAAATTATGGGAAATGTAAACTTCTACAAGATTGGTCGGAGAGAATCCATTGAAATATCTAGG